CAATGCGGTAGCTACGATGTGCCGTGGGCCAATGTAGATTTTGGTGGCATCAATTTGGGCACTGTCACCAAGTGAACAGGAACGGCATACGGAGCTAAGTGCGCCACTGGGACTCTGTCAATGACGTTGTCAGGCACGACCGCCTCAGGATACAGTGGTAATACGCCAACGAGTTGCAGTTTCAGCGCGTGCAATGCGTGCACCGCCTCGAGCGCACCTTATCCGAGTGGCATGCCGAACTGGAATTGGGATAGCAACTCCATCAGTCCCAGTTATTCCACGAGCACGTACTTTACTTCCAGGTTGGAGATTGACATTGAGTACAACACGCAGGCGACGCCCAACCCGACACCCAGCCCGACGCCCAACCCGACGCCCAACCCGACGCCCAGTCCAACAATTTCTCCAAAGCCGTCTCCGACACTATCCCCAATGTGGTTCCCGACGCTTTCCCCAACGCCGGTGCCAGCTCCGGGCATGGTTACCGAAACCACCGTGCTAGGCTCCATGTCTCTGTCTTGCTCGGCGGGTGAGTCGGATACCAAAGCTGTTGTGAAGCCAGTTCTGATGCAGGAGATGAACGTATCCGCTGCGTCAATGCTGAATGTGCAGGTTCGCCAAACAGCGCGGCGGTCGGTGAGAGGGACCGTCCCTTCAGAGCCCCGAATCATCAGGGGTAACTCGAGTCAGGGCTAACTCGGGTTCGTTTTTCGGGATTCCGAACCCGACTTATCCCGGACCCGAGTTACCCCGGATATTTCGGGCGTCCAGAGCCCTGAATCATCAGGGGTAGCTCGGGTCAGGGCTAACTCGGGTTCGTTTTTCGGGGACCCAAACCCGAGTTACCCCGGACCCGAGTTACCCCGGATAACTCGGGCGTCCAAGTCCCTGACTCTTTCAACATAATTTGCTTTGCTGAGACGGCTGACCCGGAGAAGGCGGCCGCGTTGGCGACATCCGCGAACAGCACGGCTGCAGACCCGACATCGTTAGTGGGCTCGCTCGCTACCGGCTTCGCCGACGCGGGCATCACTTTCGACGTGATTAGCCCACCTTCGACGAATCATGCCGCGATATCAGCTGCAACTGGCGACCCCCACCTCGTGAACATATACGGGCAACGTTTCGCTCCTCCAAATCCCCAGAGGCTCGGTCCCAGAGCTGTCGCTGCTGGCCGTCGAAGCCCGTGCGGAGCGGTTTGGTCGTGCGTGCTCTGACTTGTATTTCGAGTCCCTGGATTTGACCAGCACGCGGGTTGACGAATTGAGCTCCTGGGGCTTGCGATTCTCCGCCAGTGTTCCAAACTTGCACGTCGAGGCAGGGTGGCTGCATATCAGGCATGGCGATGTCAAGGTGCGCTGGGGCCACACCGCCGAGGGTGTCGAATACATCAACGTGTTCGTTCGCCACTTGAGCAGGGCGGGCTTCCCTGTTGGTGGGCTACTTGGGGATGGCGACCACTCCAAGGCGGCCATTCCGAGCCCACACTGCCGTCGCAGCCTGTCTTTGTAATAGCCACTGCAAGCCCCACATTGGTGGCTTCTCCATGGTTCTCTTGGCAGGAAGTCCTGGTGGCGCGACCGCGTGCTTCGATTGATTGCTACGTCGGCTCGGCTTGAGTTGCATGTGGCAGAACCCATTGCCGACCAGAGGTATCACAGACTGATTTCATGTCCGAGGCTTTGAATGAAATTGAGCATCATTGAGAACGGCTCCTTTGACATCGAAGACATGTTGCAGTGGTATGTAACAGAGTGTGGCCCAGATTTTCCAGCGAACCATCTGACGTATCAATTTGTTTTCCAATCGCCTAGTTGTTGGCCAGATGCGAAAGCTCGAGGGTTGCTCGAGCTTCCTTATGTCATAGACTCGCACTGTCCTAAATACAAAAAAAAGCTGCCCAGGAGGGTGTGGCCTCGCTATCGGGGGCTCATCGCCGATTTATCGACGATGCATCGCCGATCCCAGGTCGCTGCGTCCTTGCTTATGCAAGTGGCCCCCTATCGTTGCCCCTCCTCCTCCTCCTCCTCCTCCTTCTGTTGTTTCTCCTGCTCCTCCTGCTCCTCCTGCCCCTCCTGCCTAACGCGCCCCCGCAGTCGCCCACCTGCCGGTGCCCACCTGTCGGTCCCCTTGCAGCGTTTGGAGGGTGAAAGAGGGGGTCTGCAACAGGGGTGTGTTCAATAGGGGCTGAATGGCCCATGCATGCTCAATGTATCGCTCATTTTAGATTGGCATTCAATGTTGGCGGTCGTGGTGGGCTAATCGCTCGTGCCCGCGCGTTGCCCGCGCGGGCAAACGCGCCGTCCATCCATCATCGTTCATGCGTGCGGGCGTTCTTGCACATCGCGCTTGGGGCGGCGAAGTGGAGTGCAAGTGTGCCTTGAGTGTGCGATTGATGATGGCGTGCGTTCCCAAAAGATGACATGTCGACCCCCGAGACAGATTTGGAAAGGGGCCCGCGATTTTCCCAACATGTGAATTCAAATTCTTCCTTTTTGTCCAAACTGTGAATTCTCTCTGTCCTTCTTCCCCATATGTGAATTCACTTTCTGGCCCCCTCATACAGATTCCTCTACAAAATTCCAAATCGTGATTTCACATTTCCCTTTTGTTCTCTGAAATGTGAATTCACATTTCCCTTTGGCCCAGAATGTGAATTCACATTTTACTTCCCCCCACAATGTGAATTCACATTTCGCCCTGGCCCTCCAGATCCCCATAACAGAGGCGCAGTTTTCCGCATGTCAGATTGGCTGGGCAGATTTTGTCACTCACCTCACCGTTGTCGTGTATTCCAACCTTCTCTTGTTGCGCGTTCCGCGCACGTTGTCTTCGTCGCATTTCCTGAGCCCCCCCGCCTCCTTGCTCCGTTTACCTTCAAATCTCGCGCATGGGTGCAGGCGGGAAGCTTCAATCGGTTCCCCCGCCGAGCACATCAATCGAGGACGCATCGCCCACGCATGGCCCATAGAGACAGCATTGCCAGGACCTTGTGCCCGACCGCCGCTCTCACCCTTCAAAGTGTCGGGCCGCATCGGCACGGAGCAGCCTGCGCGCCGCTGTGGGGGCGCGCCTGCGCGCGCCGTGTTTCTTGCTTGGGCCGCGCGGCGCTCCTCCTGCGAAGCACCACGCTCCAGTCCGCCTGCCTGGTGTGTTCGCTCCGCTGCATGCGCGCGATCGCTCATTCGCGCCTCGCTGCACGAGCGTGATCTTCCGCGTGCCTCTGCGCTTCGCCTGCCTCCTGGATGCCGGTGCCACGTGAGGGTCATCCTCTCCGTCCCTCCTCCACCGCGGCCGCTTTGCGCCCCTCTTCGCCTCCTCTGGCCGCCGGTTCGTTTGCGCCCTGCGTTGCCCGGACAGCCCGAACGCGCGTGCGGATTGCTTCTGCCGCGCTGCGGCGAAGGACAAGTTGTTTGCATGCGATTGCCACCATCTCTGGAGGAACGTTGCAGCCAAGACTTACGTCGGGCGTCTCTCTCTACAGGACGAATGTTCAAAAGAGTCAAGCAAAAACAGTTCGGGGACGATTTTGTGAGTATGTTAGATGGTTGTTGTGTGTTCTTGTTTGGACTGTTGGGCAGCTGTCGTCCAAAATTCGGGTGTAGGATGAGGACACGCCCGACCTAAGCCAAGCCGCTGAATTCAGGATCGCTTTGGGTTCGGAAAGGGGCTCGCTGCTCCTGAGGTCTTTCCACGGGCTGTGCCCTTTGCCCTCCTCGAGCACGCAGGCGCTCATGGGGCCAAAACTCGGGGATGGTCAAGAGGGGGGGGATGACTAGGGGGGGGGTAGGGAAGGGGGGGGGGGGGATATCATGGCGGGGGCCATGGTCTCCACCCAGATCTCGTGGCGCCTCCCCCGATTTCAGTACGTTCCTGGCCACCCCCCCGTGGGCTGCGCACGTGCCGCTGGCCATGATTTGCACCCCCCCTCTTGGACACTCCTTTCTTGGCCGCCCCTGAAAACAAGGGTTTCGTTCTACACCTTAGGCGATGCTTAAGAAAACTTAAGTTTTCGGCCAGAGTCTCGATGATTCTTAACGTTTCAATGTAAATCTGAAGATTTTAATGGAAATGTTGGGTTTTTATTCAAGTTCTGAGACTATGAATTTCTTAACCCATGATTTCTTAAGCATTTCGCAGGGTGTACATGTTGCTTTCATTCTTGCACCGGCCCGAATGGTCGAGGGGGGAAGGCTGGGGAAACGAGGGCGCATCCGTTCCCAATCGCCCATTCGTCGCCGATGCGGGCTCGACAGCCCACCCAGCCCAGGAGCGCCCTTCGCCAGAGTGACCTCTGGTGTTGGCCCAAAGGTGGGTCTTGGGCAGCGACAAGGGAGGGGGGACGCATCGACCCCCAATCGCCCTTTCGTCGCCGATGCGAGCTCGATAGGCCATCCGGCCCAGGAGCGTGCGGATTCGTGGTCGAGGGTCTATCGCCGATCTGTCGGCGATGTCGCGAAGTTTCGGGATGATGCTTTCCCATCTGAGCCTGCCCTCCCCCATCGTTTCGAGCAGTGGCGAAGCGTCCTGGCTTGCCTCTAGGCCCACTACATCATGTTCCACGAACCTGCTGTGGTCTCCGCGACATGTTATTAGAACATGCCTGGCTGAGAGTGTCTTGTTGTAGCACATCGGGTATATGGTCTAAGAACATTGTTTCTGCGACTCGAACATGTGTGGCTTCTGAGATCAGTTCGGGTCGTCCCTGCTCCACTCGTTGTCCTCAGACCCTCGCTCCTCGACCCTCGCTCCTCAACCGGCAGTTGGGCAAGCTGATCGGCGCGCTGACGATCCTCAACGGGATCATCGTGCTGGCGATGCCGATCGGCGTGGTCGGCGCAAACTTCAGCGCCGAGTGCCCGCACAACGCGAGAGGGAAGGGGGAGGAGGAAGAGGAGAGGCAGGGAGGAGGGGGGAGGGAGGGATCGAAGGTGGAGGCCTACAGTGAGCGGCTTGAACAAGGAACACTTACTTTTCGAAAGGGGCTCTGTCGTTCCTCA